GCGTGAGCGGCGAAACCCGGAAGTAACACGTTCCGTTACTTCCGGATTGCCGCAGAGCGCAACTCGAATGCACTCAGCCCAAAGCGCATTCAACTCGAGGTATGACTGTAGTTAAACAATATCGTTCTGAGGGCCTGTTCAACAAAATGTTGGGAGCATATAGGCAGTTTTCTCTTTGATCCTTTTTTTAGAAGAAATAAATTTCTGATTGCAAAATCTGGTGATATATTGCCTGGTTGGTCTAATAAAACTTATAAATAATACTTAAAATATTGCGAACTGTGTTTTAGAATTCCTTCCTCCTCCTCATTTATCACCATATTCCTACATTGATTTCATACTGTTACACTGTCCACAGAAATGTACTACTTGTGCCATTTCCATTAAGAGAGGTATCTGGGGTCAATTGCTAGACAGCATCAATGAGGATAATAATCTGCCTCACTCTGTTGCTTCAGACAGAAAGAAGAAAGAGGAGATTGTTAAAGTAAGGTCAATATGATAAATTATAGGGCTCTTTGCTGAAAGTGAACTTTGTTTTTCCCCCTGCTAGTGCTGTTTAAACTAAAATAACCCAATCCTAAATAAGTAGTTTTCCTAATATTCCAACTTCACAGGTCTAAACAGATGTGCCAGTCCTCTCCATTTGACCAAGAATTCCATTTTAGCCAAGCCATTCCCACTTGCCCTATATACCTTATGTCATATATGAAGTCAGATCCTGGGCAGGCAAATACACAGCTGGGACCAAAAACAGTGTGCAGACAATGTACATTATATGATCAATGGCCCCTGAAAAGCCCTGTGTATAGTGCATTGTATGACTCTTTGCAAGCCCTGATGATCAACAGATTGCCAGGTCTTCAAAGTGCAGCACAGAGCTTTCTGCAAACACTGATGATTAGCTGGACTTCTCCTCATGGACTAAAAATCCATCTGGATGCATAGCTTAGCAATCAGGTGTCTGTCTTGGTCATGCAAGATTATGCTATATGTAGCTATGTTACCACTGATTTACCATGCTCATGTATTGTTTCATGGGTGAGCTCAAAGTTCAGTGGTAGAGAACATGTTTTACATGCACAAGTCTGAGGTTCAATTCTCAATGCTTCCTGCAAAAGCAGGAATACATAAACTGGTGTCCTTTAGATGTTGCTGGACTACAACTCCAGTCATACTGACTATTGGCTATGCCAGCAGGGGCTGAAAGGAACCGGAGTCCAACAACATCTAAAAGTCCCAACCTAACAGAACTCAAATTGCAGGGCTCAGAAAGACCTCAGCTTGAGACCTTGAAAAGTCACTACCAGTCAGAACAGACAACACTGAAGTTGATGGCCTGATACAGTATAAAGTACTTATGTTCATATGTAACAACTGCCAGATCTAGCTATAATTTTATTATAATATAGACATAAACAAACAGCAGCATCAAGTGTGCATGGCACTATTGGAAGTTGACTTACTAGAATGGATAGATTAGTGGTAACGCCTAGAAAGACTCTAATAGATTGATATTTTCCTTACCAGCTCAAAACACAAATTCCTAATGTGATAACACCAAATCTTAGCTAGCCCACTGAGTTGCACTCTAATTTATATACATCTGCAATACTAGCAATACAGTAACTTCCTTAAGGACAATCAGTGAAACACTTTACACACACACACACACACACACACACACACACACACACACTGAACTGAACAAAGTCCACAGATGAGACTTGTATTGTATGCAAGCAAAGAAAAACCAAATGTTACAAAAAAAAGGGTTCATGGAATCATTCCTCCCCAACACATAAATACCATAAACCAAACTCTAGTGTCCAACACAAGAACAAAAAAAATTACACAAAAGAAACATCAGGAGTGCATATAAACAAGGGGGTGGTGGTCCATATATTCTAATCATTATAGTCTAATAGCTAAGAATGTCAGCAAGGTACTGCAGGCGCAAACTTAAAAAAATGGTCTTGGTATTCTTGTCCACCATTAGCCTCCCTCTCTCTTCTGCCCCAAGGCAGACTGGAGTAAAACTCCTTAAAAAGCCAGAGAGTGGTCTGATTATAGGATGGAAGGAGAGGAACATCTGTCAGTGGACATAATGAGGCTATCATAATGTGGCTACCATAGAGGAAAATAAGGGTTGTAAGATCAAAGAAATGGCAAATGTAGAACTAGGCAGCTACTGGAGGCATTGGGTCATTGATCTTCTCTTTCTGTGTTTTTTAAAAGGAAATGTACCTGCAACAAGTCATGCAGGCATAAAATGGGACACAGTCTATTAACTGGCTGTGATCTTAAAATGCGACACTATAACATCCCATTGGGTTGAACAAGCAACAGGGTTTAAAAGTGCTTTAGTTGAGCTGGAATATATATACCCAAACTATTTAACATCTTATGCTAAGCAAAGAAATGTTACAGCAAGCATCTCCAATTGATGTACCTGAGGAATAAAGTGTATATGTGAAAATAATCTATTTCCACTACAACCCAAGGGGGAAATTTTAAAAAGAAAAAGTGTGCTAAATGGTTAGGTGTGGGGCAAGTACTTGTGACAGTGATCTATGTAGGAAAGTATTAAGCATCAGATTTCTAAGCCCACAGTTCATACAAAACAGGATAACATCGAAAGGGGCAGCTTCACTGCTATGTTATCAGGCATGAGATGGATGACTAGTTGACATTTATTCATGGACATTTGACCTACTGCCCTCTTATCCTAAGGCACATTCACGAAATATGGTCACAAATAACACTGGATGGTGAAAGCTAGTGTTGGGGTTTATTAAAGAGAGTGAAAATAAAAGTAATCAAGCAATGACAAAAGCCATTCCAAGCAGACTGAAAGCAAAAGTTTCCTCAGGAAATTAAATCTGAAGGTTTATTGCGGTGTGTATAACCTAGCTGCTAGATCTCTCAGCCTCCAAATATCTGCTCTGCTAGTCTGATTTAGGTTTTATTCTTATTCAGCTTTAAGCTCTTCCCACATCACCAGGTAACTATGGAAGTGTGACTCCTTTGCTATGCTAACACACAGCTAGATCAATCTTTGAGTCTAGAGATGCCACCACACAGCAGTTTATCGTGAATTTGTCAGCCTGTACCTTTTCTTAATTTAATCAAGTTTTCCCCATACCACAGAAAATCTAGTAGGTAGAAAGAACTCATTTTTTGGATACAGATAGGTAGCCGTGTTGGTCTGCCATAGTCAAAACAAAAAAAATTCCTTCCAGTAGCACCTTAAAGACCAACTAAGTTAGTTCTTGGTATGAGCTTTCGTGTGCATGCACACTTCTTCAGATACACAAATAAGTGTGCATGCACACTTCTTCAGATACACAAAAAAAATGTTCTGTCTCATTTTTTGGAGATAGAGTGGAGAGGGTGTTGGCATAGCTCAGCACAGTGTAGGAGTAAAAAAGACTAGGGAGAAACAAATCAGCTGCAAGCTTCCATCTAGGAGCCCACAACATTTGCGCACTTTACCATCTGATCCACAGATGGTAAGTGAGAACACAGTAAGAACCTTTGCATGTCAGCCAAAGCATTTACAGAGAGCAGAAAGAACACAGCATATGAGGGACAGAGGTTCTTAGATCCTGGCTGTCAGGATTCCATAGCTACTTTAATTGAGACACTTATTACCATCACAGCAAGCAAATCTGAAGTGTAATTTTAAATAATTCAAATTTTATTCGCTGCTCAGAAGAAATTCACTATAATTATTGGATAACTAGAATAGGAAAAAGACATACCTCTGGCCTTTGACACCTGCAATATATATTCTATGGCCCACCCTATTCCTGTGATTGTAATTTGTTTTAAACTATTGGTAGTACTGTATTTTTAAATTGCTATAACCTTAGAATCAATGGGTGGGAGTTTTTAGAAGTGTTCAAGGGAAATAATTGCTTAGGGAAATATGGGGAGGCTGTGGGAATATGGGGACAAGAGAAGAGAGAGACTGTGTGTTCTGAAGGGGATAATACTGTAGAGATATAGTACAAGATATTTAACGGTATGACAGAGGGGCTGAAAACGGAATAGGAAAATACTGAGGTGAAAAAAAACTTTGACGTGAAAAATTAGAACCTGGGGGGAAAGTTTCCTGATGGATTTAGAAGGGAACATCATGGGCTATGACCGAAAGGGACTGAAAAGTTAGTTGAGATTGGTAATAGTGATTACTGGGGAAAATAGGGTGGTCTTTAACTTGGGGAAATGGGAACTGGTGATGGAGAGAAGGAAGGATGATGTTCTGAGGGGAATAATGATGGTGCTCTGTGTTTACTTGGGTCACTTTTGTGACCATTCTGAAAGCACACAGGCGACCAGACTGATTTTGAGTACACCAGTAGGCCCTGAGGTATGATTATAAAGTCAAAGTACAAAGAGTGACAGAGATGGAAAAAAGTTCTCAGATCATCTTGTATGTTATTGTAGGCAGCAGCACACATCCCACCCCTGGAAAGCAGCCCCAGAGTTCTGTCCCAAGACCCATGGCCAGCAGTCACCTGTGCCCATTGCTAAATGCAAGTTATAGTATGGAGGGGTATCCATTTTAAACAAAATGAACATTGATTCTAGCCATTCTAGAGCTTATATTTGTGTTATGGATGTAAGTTCAAAAACCACATTGAACATTTGTGAAAATGCCAAAAAGAAACCTCCCCCTCTGCTTTTTCAATTTTGCACGCACAGAATGAAATAATCTGTAAATGAATTGTGCTGTTTTCATAAATGACACACAACCAAACCTAAATCTCTAGCCTTTCAGTCAGTTTCTGCTCTGTTCTCATATGGTGTCATGAGTGTGTGTGTGTGTTTGGCCTTACTAGGCTGCCTAAGATATGATTAGAGTGCACATGAAAGGCAGAGCTGCTGTTTTCCCTGGCAGGGCATACAAAAATGTACCAAAGGCCAATACTTGGAAGTGAGCAGCTTGCCAAGAACATATCCTCCCCACCAATGAATTTCTTTTGAACTTTTACCTTGGCACGCTAGCCAAGTAAGTCACAAGTTTCCGAAGGTCTTCCTGCCTTATTCTGTCGTGATTGCTGCGTGCTGGAAATGTCAGGATGGGACCTCCCCGTTTATCACGGCCACCTGCAGGAAAATAACGGGTTATTAGAAAATTAACCAGGAAGCACATTACATTATATGAGCCAAGCTGACAGACTCAAATGACTGAGAAGCAGTTTCATCATCAATGTTTCCACTCACTCCATACTACTTCAGTGGACATGCTGGTGATCATACATAAAATGGGTTACAATGTGGGAGTTGCCTTATGCTTGTTGCCTTATGCTCTACAAATCTATGAATTTGTGCCCACAGTTCAAGGGTATACACAGCTTCACTGGGCTTGCATTAATCACACATCCCAAAGATTCTAGAGAAGCTACAATACTGGCAGAAAAGGCATTAATTGGGGGAATTGTCATGCGTCATTCACTCATATTTTACAGGAAGACCAAATGAGGATGTTATCCAGTTTTTATCTTGACACATTTAGCCAGCGATTGTTCTGCTTTCCTCAACATAGTTTGTTTTTTTTTTTTAAAAAAGAAGGGAACAGTTGTGCAAACTCCAGAAATATGCTGTTGTTTTCCCTTTTTTTTTTTAATGGGGGAATGATTTTGATGTGTGCTGTGACATTTTACAAGGTTGAGTCCTATGCCTCTTCACACAACCTTTAAAATATGTTATTTAGGAAGTTTCCCACCAACAGGGAATATTTGTTTTTCTGTGATTTTTGAAGCAGGCTCATAGTTTTAAAGCTCCTTGTCTTTATGAGGAAAAACACACACACAAAAGCTGTTCCAAAAATTTCCATAATGAGCAGGCATTGATTTTAAGTTGAATTATAGGTTACACTCACACTTGTTGCTTGGCCTTAGCAACAGACCTAACCATGCCAGGTGAGCACAATTGTTCTGAGATAATTTATGCTTAATCCATAGCAATTTGCACCCTTTTAATGGGAACTGAATCAACCTTTCTCTTGCTGATTTCCATGGAAACCTTAACATATAATCTGTAGTTCCATCTATCCTGGATAATAAGAGATGGATCTGTAGAAGCAGGTTTTGGATGTGTTTGAGGGTTATTACTCATCACAGTTTAGGCCAGTCAATTTGGGGTTATGTTGGGCGCACTGGCAGAAGCACCAGATTGGCTACACTAGTGCACTAACACAGCCCCAACCTCACAGTTGCCCTACCCCATCCAGCTAAGCTGTAGTGCTGCCGGTGTCAGGGAGGAGGCTCTAAGGTTCCACGCCAACACACAGGTTACTACTGCAAGCTCCTTCTAGATTAGGGAACTGGTTGCTTGTCCTTCCCACTTTTTGGTTTTGATACATACAGTATCAGTAACTCATAGTTTCTGATGGTATAAACCAGGGGTCTGCAACCTTTAAGACAAAAAGAGCCACTTGGACTGAAGAAAAAACAACTGGGAGCCGCAAAACCATTGCGCCATTTAAAACAGTGGGGAGTGTTGGGGCACACAATGCGCCTCCTCCCCTCGCTAGTATCCGCCCCGGATCCGCGGCAAAGGTGTAAAAGAGCCACATGTGGCTCCGGAGCTGCGGGTTGCTGACCCCTGGTATAAACGCATATATTAGGTGGAAGTGTGTATAAAAATACATATATCCTACTCTATTCTGCCTTGGTCAGACCACACCTTGAATACTTTGTCCATTTATGGGTGCCACAATTTAGGAAGGATATTAACAAACTGGAATGTGTGTAGAGGAGCACGACCAAGTTGATCAGGGGTCTGGAAACCAAGCCTTATGGGGAACAGTTGAAGGAGCTTGGTAAAAGAGGAGCCTGTAAAAGAGGAGACTGAGGGAAGATATGATAGGCATCTTCAAATATCTGAAGGGATGTCACATGGAAGATGGAAGATGGAGGAAGCTTGTTTTCTCCTGATCTGAAGGGTAGGACTAGAACCAATGGCTTCAAGTTACAAGAAAGGAGATTCCGACTAAATATCAGGAAGAACTTTCTGACAGTGAGAGCTGCTTGACAGTGGAACAGACTTCCTTAGAAGGTGATGACCTCTCCTTCTATGTAGGTTTTTAAACAGAGGTTGGATAGCCATCTGTCATAGATGCTTTAGTTGATATTGAGAGGGTTGCACTGTAGAGGGTTGGACTATTTGACCCTAGGGGCCCTTCCAACTCTACAGTTCTATGATTCTATTATTTATGTCCTATGTTTCCCCTCAAGGAGCTTAACATGGTATTCCCCTTCCCAGAATGTGGCTGCCAGACGGGGGACTGGGAGTGCCTGCTGGGATCATATAATACCAGTCCTAAAGGATCTAGATTGGATCCCTGTATGTTTCCAAGCACAATTCAAAGTGTTGGTGTTGACATTTAAAGCCCTAAACAACTTAGGCCCTGCATACCTGAAGGAGCATCTCCACTCCCATTGTTCAGCCCAGACACTGAGGTCCAGTTCCAAGGGCCTTCTGGCAGTTTCCTCATTGTAAGAAGCGAAGTTACAGAGAACCAGCCAGAGGGCCTTATTGGTAGTCACACCCGCCCTGTGGAACTCCCTCCTGTCAGATGTCAAGGGAATGTTTTAGAAGATTTTAGAAGATATCTGAAAGCAGCCCTGTATTGGGAAGCCTTTAATATCTGGTGTATCACACTTTTTCTAATCTGTTGGGAGCTGCCCAGAGTGGCTGAGGTAACCCATTCAGATGGATGGGGTATACAGTGGTACCTTGGTTGTTGAATTTAATCCATTCTGGGAGTCCATTCGACTCCTGAAACAGTTCGAAAACCAAGGCGCAGCTTCCAATTGGCTGCAGGAGCTTCCTGCATTCAATCAGAAGCTGCGGAAGCCGCATCAGATGTTCGGTTTCCGGGTTTGCGAACGTTTGGCTTCCGGGTTTGCGGCGTTCGGGAGCTGATTTGTTCAGGAGCCAAGCCATTTGACAACCAAGGTACCACTGTACAAAAGTTAAGCAGAGTAAGCTATACCCACTATTTTCCAGTTAAGCTGGCATAATTTATGAATCTGAAAGCAGTCTCAGTTGTGCTTCTGAACTGGTCTTTGACTGTAATAATAAATTATTACTACAGTGGTACCTTGGGTTACAGATGCTTCAGGTTACAGACGCTTCAGGTTACAGACTCCGCTAACCCAGAAATAGTACCTCGGATTAAGAACTTTGCTTCAGGATGAGAACAGAAATCACATGGCGGCGGCACAGCAGAAGCGGGAGGCCCCATTAGCTAAAGTGGTACCTCAGGTTAAGAACAGTTTCAGGTTAAGAACGGGCCTCCGGAATGAATTAAGTTCTTAACCTGAGGTACCACTGTATTACTAATCTGATGTTATTCAGTGTCAGATTTATTGGATGTGATCTTAAATCAGTAACATTTGCCAACTGTATTTTTGTAGATCAGCATAGCTTGTGAAAGTAAAGGTAAAGTTGGCAGGTGATTCTAAACACCTTCTGGTTAAACACAGGGCTGTTCTGAACCAAGGTCAGCATTTTCAGGCATCATATCTGTTTTATTTATTTGCCACATTCACATCCTGTCCTTCATCCAAGGAGCCCAAGGCAGCATTCAGAGAAGCTATCAATTCCTCCCTGCTTCAACATACTACTTATTACCCCACAATACAACTCACTTAGATCACACATAAACTCATTCCTGAGGTAGAAAAAACTTCACCTGCTCAATTAATTTCTGTAGGTCAGGCTGTTATTATAAGCACAGGGGCAGGGCCAGTGGAGGAAGGTTGAAAGCTTGACTCCAAAGTTGTTGATGGGCACAATATCTCTATGACTTTCTCCTCTTAAGATTCTATTAATTCCACCCCTGACCCTGTTATTTAACTTGTCTTGTTGAACTTATTCTGCTTCAATAAAAGTCCCAACAGTTAATTAAAAAGGCATGGTGGCTGATTGGATTTCATGATATATGCAGGCCTTGTGAGAGACTCTAGGGGCTACTCTGGAAGTCCTTGCAGATTCCAGGGGGATTTTCAATGAGCTTTGATTCTTGTCTAGATTTCAGCAGGTTCTGAGTAAACAGAATCCAGGTGGGTGAAAGTTTGATCCCTCTCTGGTTTTACTGGCCCCGAGAGAAAGGAGCTGCATTTACTTGGTCAGCATATGTGGCCTCATTAACCCCGATCAAACTAGTTAAGGAGAAGCATTTAAGGTTTCCCTCAGCTTGGAAACAGGTGAATGTCTTTGATGGCATCTGGAAACTACATAAGGCGTAGTGGCAGATAATAGCTGTACTTACCTCTCTGGTTTAGATTATGGTTATTGTTAAAACATATGCAAAATAAAATGTAGCCAGCGCCTCCACAGTCTACTAATTTTTATATGAACTGCCACATCATATGGATGAATAAGAAAAAAACCCCAAAGAGATTATTTCATTTCTTATTTGGCTGAGAGTTTCTATGATGCTAGATAGAATCTGCTATGCCAGCCCTAAGTACCAACCACATTTTGAAGACTGCAATTGGGCACACACAGAGACAATACTCTCCTAGGAACATTCCCCTCCTCTGGTGTCTATATGCATGTTCGCAGCTGTCATTAATTAGCAACTGAATAATTTTAATTTTGAGTGCATGGAAAGATGACATATTTTTCATATGTGATTTTTCTCACATGGATTTTTTTTTAATGTGTAGACTGTAACACTCAGTTCATTCTGTATTTCCTTCCTCATGTTCATTTCCCTTTAACAGCCATCATTTATTCTTTCCAGATCTTTCCAAAGGTTAATTCCTCATAACAGACACACCAAACACAGCCAAATTTATGTGAACATAACATTCACATGAGCAATTTCCAGCAAGTATCCTTGCTCTCAAAAAATCTGTTCACGGCCTCACTAACAATATACATATAGTGCCATCAACCCACAGGCTCCCGTGGTCAGAACCACCATTGTAGTGTGCCTGCTGCACACTGATGGGCACCCACCTCCTTCTCTGGTCCTCTGCTGCTCTGGTCACACACCTCCCATTGTGTCCATACCCTCCCCCAGCGCCACAGCCAGGAAATCCTGTTGTACTGGTGGCCGTGGTGGCTGCAAAGGAGGAGGAACAGGAGGTGGCAGTAGAATGCAGTGGGGACAGGGGACACGGGGCACTTGTCACTGCTGAGTGCTTGCTGCTCCTGCTCCTCTGCCACTGTGGCTGTGCCCCCTTGCTGTGGTCATGTCCCCCCACTACTGGGAAACCCAGGTGCGCCAGCAGAAGTGGGGTGGGAGAGGAGGAGGAGCAGAAGATGACAGTGAGGCACAGCGAGGGTGGGAGGGACTGGGGGCTCTGAAACAGCAAAATGTTCCAGGCTGGTCCTACCTTAATGGGTAAGTCAAAAGTAAGATGCCTGCTTGAAAGAGCTTACAATTTAAAATGATAGTTGGGGAGCCAACAAAAGGGAAGGGGAGAAAGAAGCAAGGATACCAGAAGATGAATATGTAGCTACATGTACTTAAGCTTTGTTTCCACTGGGAGTGAAAACTAAGAAGTTAAGGCAAAGGCTTTCTAAAAAGAGTATGTTTGGTATATAGATTGTAAACAAAGGCAAAGGTATCATTCAGGAACTAAATTTCAGTGTTCTGATTATGTCAAGGTGTCTTGATATACGGAGCAACAAGGAAGATGAGATGGAGTCTTCTAAGCAAGCTGGGCACATAGGGGAAGGAGCAATGGTCACAGAGAAGGGTATACCAGGAAAGAAGGACACGAAGATGGAGGAAATCCTGCAAGGTAAGGACCAACATGTGGAAGTGGGCCAAATTACTTTTCTTTGTGAAAGAATTTGCTTCCAAGTTCCTACCAGTTGTATGCCACAGACTGTTCTGTGAAATCTCTTCAACAGACATGCAGTCCACAGCAAACAAACAGCACTTGAGCTCCATATTAAAGGATAACCCTCTTTATACTGTCACAATAGGTTGCAAAGATTTGCCCTACATTTTCAAAAGCCACTGGTGAGCCTTGGCTCTGCCTATTATGTCTGCAGATCATTGAGAGGGAAGGCTGCTATTGAAATAGCTGTGTCAGAAATGATTGCCTTTCCATGCAGAGACAAAGCAGCAAAGCAAGCTGAGATGTCCCAAGTGTCTTCCTCTGACATCTCTTTAAAGAAACTGAAGAGGAATTCATTGACCAAGAGTAGCGAGCAATCTTTTCATTCTGTGCAACCTGCGCAGGTTTGGGGCAGACTTCTACTTGCGGACTAAGCGATTCGTGACATGTAATGTATGATGACTGGTGCAATGTGCTCACACACTTTTGAACTGGAAATCCATTCACACCTCAAAACAAAAGGTGCAGTATTTCTAATAGCAATTAAGGGCAAGAGCAAATTCATATACTGTAACTGACTTTTTCTGTGTTACTGCAACTCTCCTCACCTAGGGATCCTCACCATGATCATGGCTATAACATTAACAGCACTTGGGGATGGCAATGACAGCAAATTATGCAGACTGTGGTCTAGGTCAGGCTTCCTCAAACTCGGCCCTCCAGATGTTTTTGGCCTACAACGCCCATGATCCCTAGCTAGCAGGACCAGTGGTCAGGGATGATGGGAATTGTAGTCTCAAAACATCTGGAGGGCCGAGTTTGAGGAAGCCTGGTCTAGGTGGTGGATGGACAACTTCTGTTAATCTTGTTTGTTTGTTTCCCAGTGCTGTGATTATACGTGGTCCTGCACAATTCTATCACGTATAAATGGGAGGATGCGTCTTTTGCACCTGGTCACCCTTTAAAACCTTTTTGTTTTGTTCAATAATCACTAATCACTTGTTCTGAATCCCCTGTCCTTGCATGAAGGTCTTCTACTTTTACTCTGCTTCCTGCCAGTTGCCTTTCCTTTCCTTTCCTCCTGAACTGTTTTTAGAACACACTAATCAAAAGTGGAAAGTATAACTTATAAATATAATGCCAAGCCATCATGCAGTTTTCAGAAAGTTAACATTCTCACATTCAAATTCTGTCCAAACATTTGGTTTTAACGTGGCACTGGAACTCAAATTTGAAATTTGAATTACAGATAGGTAGCCGTGTTGGTCTGCCATAGTCAAAACAAAAAAAATTCCTTCCAGTAGCACCTTAAAGACCAACTAAGTTAGTTCTTGGTATGAGCTTTCGTGTGCATGCACACTTCTTCAGATACACTGAAACAGAAGTTGCCAGATCCTTCTATATAGTGAGAAGGTGGGGAGGGGTATTACTCAGAAGGGTGGTGGGAATGGGTGATTGGCAGATAGCTGTGATGAGCCTGTTGACGACTCTTAACGACTGTGATAGGTCTTACAGGAAAAAGCAAGGGGTGAGAAGGTGAAAAATGGCTTTGTCATGTATAATGAGATAAGAATCCAATGTCTTTGTTCAGACCAGGTCTCTCCATGGTTTTAAGTTTGGTAATGAGTTGCAATTCAGCAGCTTCTAGCAAACAGATTATAATCTATCCCGTAATATTCTGTTATATATTGCTGCTATACTTATATAATTTTCACTGGTGCAATGTGCTCACACACTTCAAAAAGAAAAGAGTAATGAACCCACCTGAAACAAAGGCAACTTTTTCCTTTAGTATGGGAAGGACATCAGCAGCTTTTAAACCATCATTTCGGAAAGATCCTGCAAAAACGAGAAGAAAATAGGAATGTCTTGATTAGAGAGGAGTCTGCCTTTGACAGTGCTTGCAATGTGTTCCAGACTGCCCCAATCAACAAGCAATTGCCTACAATTTGTAGATCAAGCTATGGAAATACAGAAAACATTCTTTTCTCCAACACTAATTTTCTTCCAAATAAAAAGGGAAGGCAGCATGATATCTGTCAAAACGTACAAAAAGCACTGCACAAGCTTCTATTCATTATCACTGTTGTCAGGTCATGACAATATCAGGAACAAGAAATGAGTAAGTGACTAATATAAAAGATATAACAACAACAAAACAAACCCACAGGTCATAACAAAATAAAATCATTTCTCATATGAAACTGAGCATTCAGTAATATAACTAATTAACAGCACTGGCAATTCCTAATCTTTACAGCTGCCATAAATTATCAAAACTATAAGTACATTACCTAATTCCATTCTAAGTATGGCTGCAGCCAAAATGGCTCTATACAGATAACAAGTGACCAATATTTGCGTAAGAAATATACACCAGAAAGACAACCCTCATCCCCCATGTAGGCATACCGGTATTTTGCTGATGTAGTGCAAATGCAAAATACTGCCTAATCCACATGTTCAGCAAAGTGAAAGGACTTACTCGTACAGGTGGAGCTCAGGTGTCATATCAAAAATACATTTACTTGGAACTAAAATTTCTTCAAATCCAGTGGAACTTACTTCCAAGTAAACATGCTTGAACTGTGCGGATTGTGTCAACACATTGGGGATCCCAGTTTTAGAATATCATGGGGGGGGGGCTTTGCGCCTACCCATTTTTTTCTGTCATGAAACTGTTGCTGCTCTAACATCCACATCCTCCTGCAACAATCTCAGCTTTGAACTTAAGGAAGACAATGAAGACAAGGTCTGTCTTGCCTGCATCCTGTTATTGTGGTTTTTTTACAAAGAAAGCAGCTGGGTTTTTATGCCTGCCCACTGCTGAATATCTGAATATGGTTCTGAAAATGGGTAGCCTCTCCATCACATATCCATTAATACACCCAGCTTCAGAATGTGCTCAGTGCAGCTGATGAAGTTACATAGCAACTCATGTACAGTAGATGGCCACATAAATGCTACAAAGAGGGGTTCCAATAATGGGTTATTATTTCTTATAGCTGGAATCAGTGTTGTTGTTTTTCCTTAAAAAATTCAAGGGGCACTCTCGTTTTCCTACTCATATTGAAATACTGCCCCTCAATGAGGCCAAACTTAGATTCACAAAATGTTTAGGGGTATGCGTACCCCTGCGTCCCCCCAGAAAAAAGCACTGCCTGAAATATAATTTGCTGCACTCTTTACAAACAAAAGTGTTGTATGGTGTCTTGTTTATTTGGCCTTGGAGCTTCCTCTTCATATAGGAATTGGATTAATAAATCATTACTTTGTCCTCCCTAGGAAGGCCAATGAAGTAAAGATTTCCTGCCATTCCAAAACCAGGAGCATGTCTGCTCTCTGCCAAGGTGAATGAGTCATTCCTTGGCAGACTGGAAGCTGCTCAGCTGTTGCTTGAGAGTTTGAAGGAGGTCACATTTTTGGTTGCTATGGTGCACAGAAGAGCAAACAATACATGCTCTCCCACATGATAAGAACTATACAGTAATAAATCCACCCACATTGTCAAGACAACAAAGGTTATGATAAGACAAAGAAATATAACTTTTCTTAGCTTTAAACCGAAAGATGTAGGACAGAAGATGAAGCCAATGATTAGAAACCACTTCCGTCCACTAACCTGAAATGAAAGTCTTTTAGCCCAGGAGTATACTTTTCTCTTTCTAATGAGGCATGACTAACGTGATGGGCGTTTCTGTGGTTTTTTTTACTGAAAATATGAAAGTTAGCATAAAAAGGAAATACTTTTTCCAAGTATGATTGCCCCCAAACTTTCACATATTTGTTTTCTGCAAAGCCTGTGCAAATAACACAGTTTGGATGAGCTTGACATAATTCGCAGTACAAGGTGCGATCAGCCCTATTTTGCAGGGGTATTTATGCTCTTGAGTTGCTAGATGGGGCTTTTTGTTGTTGTAGTGATGTTGTTATATAAAAGGTAATATTTAAAACAGGTATAACTTCTGCCATTAGAATTCTGCTGTGGTAAACAGCACCCAGTCCCATATTGAATCTGACAAATCTATTCTAACTCCTGAGGTGGTAGAAGCTCCATTATCTATCAAAGCCAAAAGCAGAAACTGTGAAGCCAAACCCCTTGGAAAAAATGTCAGGCTCTGGCAGGAATCTACCATGCAAATAATAAAATATTAAGCAACCTCCTCTGCTTTAGGAGAAATGGACAACTAGACATTTCTTGTGCTCCAAGATTTGTTTTCAGAAAGCCAACTTCAAATGGAATGTGTGTGTGTGTGTGTGTGTGTGTGTGTGAGAGAGAGAGAGAGAGAGAGAGAGAGAGAGAGAGAGCGCATGCTGTCATATATTATCTCAGGAGAGGTTTCAATATAAAACCACAATACCATTAAATTAACAAAAACTTTATGTAATATTCACAATTCTGAAGATAGTGGCAAACACAAAAAGTGATAATTTCCAGCAGACTTTTAACAACTTCCCCTGAAAAACGTACCTTTTGAGTCACCCCCAAAATCTTCTAGATGGTACCTCAAGCTCCTGTGGGCCTTCCCCTAGACAGCATTACTAAGAAAGCCAAAGCTTCCCTTTCAATCCAAACTGGTATCATAGCTGTTAGCTAAATGGGCCTTTAAATGTATTTTCTCCTGAACTGGTGAACTTTTACCTCAACTGTGCTCTCTCTACAAGAATTTAACATGTGGGCTTCAGGTGCCTGAAACACACACACACTTGAACTCAGTAGCCCTTATTTTAAAGGTACCATAAGTAAAGTCAGGGTATGCCTTATACATCTTTGAAGAAAACCCCAAGTGGGGTAGAAATTTGTGGAGAGGCAGTGTGGAAGTCGTGTGTGCGTATGTGTTCGGGTGTGTGTGTGTGTTGGGAGGATTGATCCTGAGGAGAGGTTTTATTAAGAAAGATATGGAGCAAGAGGTTTAGATTTTTTGAACTGCTGGGCCTAGCTGAACTGCTGGAGTAGGCCACAATGCTACATAACAACATGTTCATTATTACAGAATTTCACTTGAAGCTCTAGAAAGCAGATTAAATGGCACCAAAGCACCTCTCGCATAGAGAGACTCTTGGGTCCAGGGCTCAAATTTTGAGTGGGGGGGAGGGGTGTTGATGAGCTCCTCAAGCCCCACCGCCCTCGCTCAACCCTATTCTCCTCAAAACATGCTTCTTTATATGCCTTAAAAATAGCTAGTGTAATTCACTCACAAATTCTGAGTGTATTAAAACTGCCAAAATATTTAGTCATTGAATAATTTAGACGGAACAACAGGCACCTGTTTCTCACAGGTAAACATGTGGAATCTCTCTATGTTTCTGGCTACATAGTCCTGGTCCGGGATGCAGCAGTAGGCCTCAGTCTCCTTCACTGCCTTGACTGTGGAGCCACTGCTGCAAGAAGGCTGTATGATGGTAGAAGGCTGCTGTTGTCTTCTCCACTGCTTTCTCAGCCCATGGAAGAAGTGTGGGTCAGGCAGGGCAGCAGCTTCCCCTGGGGAGGTGGGACTCAGCATAGTTTCTGACAACTCTGGAGGTGGAGTTGGCTGTGCAACGAGCAGAGTGGATGCACCAGAACCAGACTCTGACAGCTCCATGGATGAAAGTGGTGTCCCTGCCTTGTGCCATGGGGATAGATAGGGAGATAAAACAGGGTGAGGGGAATCCCTCTCCCCACCTCTCCAGGATCCCTTTCCTCAGGCACTTCCAACTTAGGCAAAGATCTGCCTCAACCACTGGATCCCACCCCAGGATTAAAGAATCATAGAATTGTAGAGTTGGAAGGGGTCCCAAGGGTCATCATTGGCCAACCACTAATTGTCTCCATCCTAATTTTGCCAGACCCCCTACTCAGGTCATTATAGCTCTCCCAATGCCCATTCTCAATGGCTTCATCTAGACGTTGGGTACAGCTACCTATAGCACAACTTCCAACTACAATTCCCCAATGCTACTCTGTAGAACCATCCCTGTAAGTAGGAGTGGGACCACACTACCTCTAACTCCCAACTCACCAAGTCAGTTCATGAGGATACAACAGTCAGTGGTATCAAAAACCACTGAGAGATCAAATAAGAGTAACAGGATCACACACACCCATCTGTCCCTAATAAAGGTAATCTGTCAGGGGGATCAAAATTGATTCTACTACCAGACTGGGCCTGCCCTGACTAGAATGGGTCTAGATTATCACTTTCTTCCAAGAGCAACTGCAGCTGAATCACAGCCACAAGGTTAAGTACCTTGCCCAAAGCAGGGCTATCTGTAACCATACAGTAGTTTTTGGACCCAGGGAAGGCTTTTTAGGAGCGCCCAGGCAGAAATGACAAAGCCCAGTACAAGCTATGTTGTGTATTTCAGCTGATCATATAGCCAAGTGAGCTAGTACTTAGAAACAGAGTTCCCTGCATATTTTTAAATGTCACTGTATTTGAATATTGAATGTGAGTTCTTATGAACAGCGTTGTATTGCAAATATATGCTTCCATTGTTTTATAACTGACAGGAAACCTTGGCTTCCAAACTGCTATGGATACCACTGAACTGAGGAAGACTTTGCATACCATGAGGTACAACAAAGCACACGTCACATGCTCTGTGCTTTGAGGCATTTTCCTGGGGAACTTTGTAAAAGAGTTCATTCCCTAGAACCATGGAAACCAAACAGGCCATCTGCACAGTATACTAAATCCCACTGCCCCATACGCCAAACCATTTGTTCCATCTAAGACAAAGGCTATATTCACTTTATGGCTGAAATTTATTCTCAGATGAAAAAGATTAATGCCATCGGTGTGCATTACTTAGACCTGATCCAAGACTAATATTTTCTCCCAGTTTTCTTGTCCCGT